TATAGGGTTATCTGCTACCTTGTTAACCAATGACATGTTCAATAAGTTCAAACTTATAACCAATGAGAAGTGTCAAAGTAGTGGCCAATCAGGGACTACTTATGGACCAATCCCTAGTTGTTGTATAAGGGCCAATCAGGTATGCAGGTTTCCAAACCCTGATTTGCATTTATGCTAGTAACTTTTATTGATTCACAACAGATAGATGGATGGATGGATGGATAGATAGATAGATAGATAGATAGATAGATAGATAGATAGATAGATAGATAATAGATGGATGGATGGATAGATAGATAAATAGATAGATAGATAGATAGATAGATAGATAGATAGATAGATAGATAGATAGATAGATAGATAATCAATATCATAAAAGATTCATTTTTAGATATTCTTCATCCATTCATGGTTGTTGAATATAGAACCTTGATGTGTTATTATTAACCATACACAGTGACGGTGTGCTGATGCCAAAAGATACAACTGGTGTATCCTCCTTCCAGTTGCCTTCTGTGATAGTGTCTGAAAGGCAAGTCATGTGGGAATGGGGGTGGATGAATGACTCATTGTAGGTACTCAGAGCTCCCCACACACATATACAGAGTAGACTGGTACAGAGTAGAGTTCTTCCCAGTAAATCAAGAGAAAACACCCTGGAGCATTCACAGCACCTGAGCATCACCCTACTACCCTGGTGTTCATGCTTTTGTTTTTTAATGACAACACAAAAAAGTCTGTGTAACATGTAAGGATGTAGTTTTGAGACTCTGCAAAGAGGAAGGGGACAGAAGATGGCGATTGTTGAGAAGAGTGCAAAGGTCCACCTAGATGTCTTTCTTCAAGGCAACGCCAAGTCTTGCTTCCAGAGAAAAAAGAGGGCCTTTTGCTCAAGCAAGGCCTGGGGGTCAGCTCACCTGAACATAACTGCGATTGATGGATGCCCTTTTCCCTGAAAAGATATACACGGCTCCTGCATTCTCATCTTCCAAGGGAGCCCCAATGGCCACGTCTGTCCATTTATCCCCAGTGATGTCACCCACTTCTGCAATGCTGGCCCCAAAGCGACCAAACAAATGCCCTGGCTCTCCTTTCAAAGCTGTGTGGCTGTTTGTACAAGAAAATGCTTCATTCTGCAAAATGTAAGAAAAATACACTGGAATGCAAATGAATTTCTCAGAAGGCTGCCCCCACAATATGGTCTTTACAAATTTCTTAAAAAATTTACACCTACTACTTCAGTACTAGTCTAGCTAGTCTAGTGAAGAGAAGGACCAGGAGAGACATGATAGCAGTCTTCCAATATTTGAGGGGCTGCCACAGAGAGGAAGGGGTCAGGCTATTTTCTAAAGTGCCTGTAAGCCAGACAAGGAATAATGGATGGAAACTGAACAAGGAGAAATTTAACTTGGAAATAAGGAGAAACTTTCTGACAGTAAGAACAATCAACCAATGGAACAACTTTCCCTCAGAAGTTGTGGGAGCGCCATCACTTGAGACCTTTAAGAAGAGATTGGATTGCCATTTGTCAGAAATGGTATAGGGTTGGGCAGAGGGTTGGACTAGATGACCTATAAGGTCCCTTCCAACTTTGATTATCTGTTAATCTATTAGTACGTTTTATTAAACACCTGTAGACATATCTACTTTAGGATACAATTTTATTCCATTGTGGACTGCCATAATTCCCCAAGGAATTCTGGGACTTGTTGATTTATTTGATTTGTCAATCGCTTACAAGATAATAGGTATAAGTATAAACATGAGTAAGAATACAGAAAATAGGCACGAATAAATGGGGACATTAGGACAGGGAAGGTAGGCACGATGGTGTGCTTATGCATGCCCCTTTCAGACCTCTTAGGAATGAGGTGAGGTCAACAATGGATAGTTTGAGTTTAAAGGAGCGGAGGTTAGAGGATGGAACAACAGAGTCAAGTAGTGCATTCCAGGCATTGACCACTCTGTTGTTGAAGTTGTACTTTCTGCAATCAAGTTTGGAGCGGTTTACATTGAATTTGTATCTGTTGTGTGCTCTTGTATTGTTGCGGTTGAAGCTGAAGTAGTCATTGACTGTAGTTTAGTGAAGGTTCTGAACACTTAGCCTTTCCTTTTATTGCATAAATCATCATTTCTAGAGTTTCCCAGAGAGAATAAATATGGTTCCCAACCCATTTGGGGTTTATTGCATAAATGGATCCTCAGTGTTTCACATCTCCTGCCACATATACAGGTTTTCTCTCTCTCTCTCCCTCCCTCCTTCCCTCTTTTCTCTCTTTCAAGACAGAGCCTGTGTTTAAAACAGAATTTTCCTCAGATGCAACAAATGGAAGATTCCATTGCCAAATTAAGATGTTTATGTCAAGTGTCACACTCATTTCAAATATTTGTTTGCCATATTGGAGCTCAGCCTTAAAAAAATATCAAGAAATATTAAGTAGTCCTCGACTTACAATGGTAAAGGAGCCTTCCCATTATCAGTCATAAGTTATGAGAATCGAAAATTAGGTTATCCATGTCACTGGCCTGATTTTATGGCTTTTTTTGTGTGCAATGGTTGTTAAGCAAACACCATGATTGTAAAGCAACTGCCGCAGATGTCAAGCAAACCAATTGATCGCCATGGGACAGTTTTGCCAAAAATCAGAAGAAAATGCCAGTTTTCAGCAAAAGTGTAATAAAATAGGGTCATGTGACCAGAGGATGCTCCAAACAGCTGTGAATGCAGGCTGTTTGCTGGTTGCCCAAATGCAGACCAGAACTTCAGAACCAGGCCACAAACAACCTGGGGAGGTCCATTGTAACTTCAAATGGTCACTAGGCGACCGGTTGTAAATTGAGGACTACCTCAAAAGTTTCTCCTCCACCTGATTTACAATGTAACACCTGGGTATTTTGAGCAGAAGTTGAAAATCATAGAAACTCTAGAGCTGCCCATCTTCAACCATCATTTATTCTGTGGTTCATAGATCAAGAAGTCTCTTACCTTAAAAAGACAGATGTGAACCCTTCCTCCTGCAGTGGCATCGTAGTACATGGGAGCTCCAACCAGAACTAAATCTGTGTTTTTGTCTTGATTGAGGTCCACCGAGCACAGAGTTGCTCCAAAGTAAGAACCAACCTGTTGCATCAAATAATCACTTCTTAATTTCATTTGACTTAAAAAATAGTAATGGAGCAAGGCCATCATTTGCATGTTTCATGTTCTAATTGCAGAAGCAGAGATGTTACTGCTGGGTGCAAGAAGTATGTTTTTGAAGTATCAGTCTTTAAGTCTGCAACCTTAGGTTTTGAGGCATGCAGGCAATAAAGGAAAAAGGTACATTTTCAGATACTTAGTGTCCTTCTACTTGGTAGTCGTAAGTTGAGGGCTACCTATATGTGACCTTGAATCTTTGCTCAATAGCCTTCGTGCCTTCAACCCTCTGGCAGCCAAATCAGATGAGGGGGAGGCGTGGGAGTCAGGGTCAGTATCAAGGCATTCTGAGAGCTTCGAGGGGAAGAGAGAATGGACCTGACAGAGACAGAGGCAGAGGCGGAGCCTGGGCTGTCCCAGATGGAGAGTCAACAGCCCCCAGGACTGGAGGTGCCGGATGAGGAAGAGGAGGAACAGTTGGATCCAGTGCCTGATGAATGGATGCGCAGAAGGCAGAGAAGAGGAGAGCAGTGGAAAAATATGGACTGGTCCTTGGGACGGAAGAGCCACTGCTGCCAGTGAAACCCCACCTTAGCTCTGGAGTTAAAAGGCAGAGGGCGGAGATGAATAGGTGTGGCAGACAACTATTCATCTCTCTACGGACAGACTTGTTAGCCTGCTGTGTGTGTGAGAGAGAGAGACTTTATGCCGGGAGCTGCTGGAGCTCCTAATAAAGGAAACATTTAGTTAACTACAGAGGGTTTGTTGTGTTTGGGAACCAGGTCAGAGCAGTAATGTTTGGGGTGGAACCTGATCACATCCTCCTCCAGAGGTTTTATCTATGTTCTCTTCAATTCTTTCAGAGTTCTTTTATCTCCGTTCATACCTGTTCCCCTACTGCCTCCATCTTTAGCCGCCATTCCCGACTCAGGGCTTCATTCTCAAAGTAGACAACTTTGCCAATGTGATCATAGCGGGGAGCTCCTACAACCAGGCCATTCCTCCCATGGAACTGGACAGGCTGAGAAGAATAGCCTAAAGGGGAGACAAAACAGCTAAAACCTATGATAACTTTGTCATCACTTTGACATGTACACTAATCGGCATACATTAAAATGAAATTTGGCTGTATACAGCTCTCAAAGGGTCATCACCTCTAGTATATACTACATAAACATGACAAAATAAATAAATAAATACAAAATTATGCATACACCCACATGTATTATATGACATGGAGAAGCAATACAATCCAGTTTGGATGTATACATGTACATCCATAACTCACATGATCATAGAGGATCCTTTAAATTTACAATCAAGCTTGGGATAGATTCATTTGTAAGATAATGATCTAAAAATGCAGATAAGGTAGCCCTTGGTTTACAGCCATTTGTTTAGTGACCATTTGAAGTTACGGCATCATCAAAAAAAGTGGCTTATGACCGTTTTTCACACTTGCAGCATCCCCATGGCTACATGATCAAAATTTGGATGCTTGGCAACTGGCATGTGTTTACAACATGCCGGGATCATATAATCTCCACTTGTAACCTTCCCTGGTGGCTTCCAACAAGCAAACTCAAGTGGGGGAAACCAGATTCGCTGAACAACCACATGAGTCAGTTAACCACTGCAGTCATTAAATTAACAACTGTGGCAAAAAGTTGTGTGCAACTCTCTTAACAACCACCTTGCCTAGCAACAGACATTCTGGTCCCCATTGTGGCCGTAAATCGAAGATTACCTGTAGTGAATTTGCTTCCTGCCACAACTAAATGGAAAACCATCAAATGGGTTAGTAGAAAGCCTTGTACTGTATAGTCCAAAATAACAGAGATAAAAGAGTCTAATTATAATAATTTCAGTAAAATGCTGTATTGGAAAGAGAGGTAGAACATAATGGAGGGTGTGAATTTTGGGTTTTATTTTCTTACCGAGATAGGAATTATTCATATATTTGAGGATGCTGGAGATATTAATAAATTCTGGGTCTTGGTGGCCGGTTTGATATAGAAGTAATCCTCCAGACCAATCATAGGCTCCCACAGCTCCGACGACAAGGCCTTGCTAAATCACAGCAAAAAGTTAGAATAGGACTGTACAATCATCTGGGAAGAAAAATAATGTCGGACCTGCCACAACTTGAACCTTTAAATAAAAACGATCTTTGGCTCCATTTGTTGAAAAAGGTAGAGTAGAAAAAACAATTACGACCAACCTGTCTTCCATCGAGGACCTGTATCCTGCACGAGTCAAAAAGAGGGCTGTGAACATATTTACAGACCCCTCACATCCTGGACATAAACTCTTTCAACTCCTACCCTCAAAACGATGCTATAGAGCACTGCACACCAAATAGACACAAGGACAGTTTTTCCCCGAATGCCATCACTCTGCTAAACAAATAATTTCCTCAATACTGTCCAACTATTTACTAAGTCTGCATTACTATTACTATTAATCCTCGCATCCTTCCTTTCACCCATCTCCCACTTATGACTATATGACTGTAACCTTGCTGCTTCTATCAGTGGTGGGATTCAATTTTTTTTTACTACCGGCTCTGTAGGCGTGGCTTGGTGGGCGTGGCAGGGGAAGGATACTGTAAAATCTCCAGTCAGAGGCGGTATTTGACGGTTCTCCGAACTACTCAAAATTTCCGCTATCGGTTCTCCAGAACTGGTCAGAACCTGCTGAATACCACCTCTGGCTTGTAGCCTAATGATTTTTATTGACTGTTTCCTAATATGATTTGATTGCTTATTGTACCCTATGACTATCATTAAGTGTTGTACCTTATGATTCTTGACTCTTGATGAATGTATCTTTTCTTTTATGTACACTGAGAGCATTTGCACCAAGACAAATTCCTTGTGTGTCCAATCACATTTGGCCAATAAAGAATTCTATTCTATTCTATTAGAGATCAAGTACATTGCAGTAATGTGCAGCCAGAACTAGAAACTGTGTGCCAAAATCCCTAAGATTTCTGTGGGGTTCTTGGAGAAGACAGATTGTTCATGAGGGTAAGAGAGAGAAAAGGCAGGAAGGGGAAAGTGGGGAGGGCCATTCATTGCCCACCACTAAGAGTCTACTAAGAGATTGTCTCCAAGAATGCAGTGGGGGAAGTTCATCGGAGGGAGCTCCAACCTGTAAATAAGGAGGAATTTCCTGACTGTGAGAATAATTAATCAGTAGAACACCTTGCTTCCTGGAGTTGTGAGTGCTCCATCGCTGGAGGTTTTCAAGAAAAAAATTGGACAACCGTTTGTCGGGGGTGGTATAAAGACTTTGGGAAAGCGGTTGGACTAAAAGACCTCCAAGGTCCCTTCTAGGCCTATGATTCTATGATCCACGCTGGGCTCAAGAACACTCACCGTGATCAGGAGGGCACTCAAACCTTCCTGGGACATTTCCATTTGGAAGGAACTGCTACTCCGGAACTGGGTGCCTATGGGGAGACACAACGACAGCAGGAAAACAGGATAGAATGTCCTCAGTAAGGATATAGTAAAATTGCATGTTCTTGCTTTAGTCTGGAAAACCAACAAATGGACAATTGAACAGATCAATGCAGAGTTTTCAATCTAGGCACAAATAGCTGGTTTCAAATCAGAAGCTTGTTCAGACACAAAACCGTAAGAAATAGATCAGCTCTATTGCAAGTGAATCATTCTGCTTTCTCAAAGTTACACCTCTGCCTTCATCCTTGTTTCAGAAAAAAAAATTTGTATATGAACTTGCCTCGGGAAGAATGCTAGGCAATAGCCAAAAAGATGCACCTGGGATTGCATCCTTAAAAAGGCCCGAAGTTACCTTCAATTGCAAAGATTTTGTTCTGTAACTGCTCCTGGATACTTTTCAAAGCATTAAAATTATTGACTTTGAAAACATGCTCATCGTCTGGCTCAGAAGCGATGTCTTTCAGTTCCTGTTGGACTCCGATGGTTGAAAATGCAGAGCCAACCTTAACGTGGGAAAAGAAGGAAGGATATTTCAGACACAATTGTTGCAGTTGATAACCATACGATGTGGCAGAGATGTGTACCATACTCATTCTGGCATTGAGTCCAGGATTTGGATAATTCCTAAATCTAATGGACTGCATAAGGTAATCTAAATTGCAAGGAGTTGTGGGTTCAATTTTGGGTAGGTTTGAACCCCAAAGAATGACATCTGGCCAGCTGCATGTAACTGTTTCCAATAAGGATGATGCTGGCAACATGATACCTTTTGGTGGTCAATGTAACTGAGATACAAGACTAATCATATTTGGTCACTGAGGCTCCTAAGAAGATTCTCACCCCGATGGCATAACGGATGATCCCAGCTTGTTCAGCCTCTGGTATCACCTCCCAATACTCAGCATCATCATTCATCTTGCTTCCATCGGTTATCACAATAAGGATCTTTGTAGCACTATTCCGAGATCCTTTTTCTGCAATAAACAGTTCCCTCCTTGAGAAGAAAAGGGAAGGAAGAATAAACATTGATTCAGCTACTTAATATTTTTCCAAGGGTGAGGAAAAGGAAAGAGGAAGGAGGAAGGAGGAAGGAGGAAGGAGGAAGGAGGAAGGAGGAAGGAGGAAGGAGAAGAAGAAGAAGAAGAAGAAGAAGAAGAAGAAGAAGAAGAAGAAG